GTCGTGAGACACCGCCACATTCTTCCTGAGGATCAGGCAGAGCCCGGGATCTGTTTGCTTTCTGCTCTCTGCCATTGTTACCCTTAGTCCATGCTAAGCCCACCCCACTCTCTATCCCTTCCTCCATGTCCACATTGATGCTCTCGCGCTACCCGCCCACTCTCTTCCTTGCTCTAGTTTTGTTGTTTATTGTCAACCTTCTTCACTGATGTCTACACCCATTCTTCATTTCTGCTGGAATTTATTCCCTCTGTTTTTTCCCTTTTGGTTACTGTCTTGTGTATCTGGACACATTGTGTATGTTTCAGGCTTAATCTATAGTACTACAAAGACATAAATGTTTTTTTCTATACTCTTGGGTCTTCTCATAAGTCAGGAAATCCTCTTGTTTTCCATTGATATTTAAGAAGGCAGGACATGGTGTCAGTTTTCCTAATGAGTATATAAATGTCAAATGAGAGTCGGAATCAACTAGTATCTTTAACCCCTCTTCACTCTACTTGGGATTAACCTTCTGGAAGGTGGCCTAGTGGTAACTGAATGCCCTGAGGACAAAACCAAGAGAATTGTATTTGGAGGTCACCAACATCACAGGAAAGTTTGTGCTTTGTGCACATCTACTTGTTGGTAAGGAAGAGAGGATTCTGCTAAGCCTAGTTGTTAGCAGGAAAAAGGCAGTTAGGATGTGTGAACATCTTCTAGTGGTTTTTGTTGATCACATTTTTTTAATGTCTTCTTTTCAGTCCTACCTTTCCCTTCCACTGTGTCTATTTCCTTACTGAGGGCTTCCTAGGGCCAAATATCTCATCTCTACTTCCTTCTATAGCAAGTTCTTGGTAGCAGCTTCTTTTTCTAGTTCATTTCCTAATCTGCTCCCAAATTTTCACTGCTCAAAATTTGTTTAAAAGTCTGTTTGGTAGGGATGGAGAAATGGCTCAGGAGTTAAGAACACTGGCTGCTCTTACACAGGACCAGTGCTGCCAGCATCTGTTTGGTGGCCCACAACCACATGTAACTCCAGTTTCACCTTTTGTCGTCTTTAGGTTACATGCATGTGGAAAACACAAGTTCACGCGCATACACATATACATAAGTAAAATAAATGAGCAAGTCGTTTTAGAAAGAAAAAATTAAAAGTTCTTTTGCTAATAGGATTCCCATTGTTGAGTTGGTCATGTTTCTTATCGGATACTTTTGTTTTGAAGAATACTGGAGGAGTTTCAGAAGCTTTTACAATAGTAAAGGTTTTGTGGGTATCTCTGTGTCCCTGATGTGAAAAATGCACAGAATCTGCGCATCTCGCTTCCTTCAATTATTTTTCATCTAATTCAAATGGTGATTTTTCTCTTTCCTTAAATACTTGAATTCTTGGACATTTGTTGGTTGATAGTTTACTCTCTAGGAAGAGCGGTTTCCTCTCTGCTCGGCTATATCTCTGTTATGCTATGAACTCCTATTCAGTTATATCTTTTTTATGCTATGAACTTGTGACTACTTACCTGGTTTTTTGGGTTATAATCCACCGCTAGCCTTACTTCTTGTATTTCTGGAATTGTTACAGCTCCAGCCTCCCAGGGCTTTTCTGCTTTAGTCCGTCTGCCCCTAGGCACATTTTCATCCCTTCTGACAATTTCCTTGCCTTCATACAGTACTCCTGAGCTGCTTCTTTTTTCCGGTGATGATGTCCTAGAGTCAATCACTGTTCAAGGACCTCTGTAATCTTTTATTGGAGATTGACAATGGAATACTAGCTATTCAATGACAGGTTTTCACTATTGGGGTGTCATGGTTATTATGAAGTGTATGATAACCCAAGCAAACATGCATGTTTTGCTTTTCTCCTTAACAACAAACCCCATGAATGCCTCTGAGGAATTTATTCAAGAAAAATTATACTGCTTTTTTAACTTAGTATTTTCATAACAGTCTTTTGGTCTTTTATACTCAGTCTTAGTCCATTTTGTGTGGATGTAACAGATAGATGATTGATATAAATTATAGATTTGGAAAATGGTTATGAAGCTACAAAGTACGGAACTGTGGTGCTGGTGTCTGATATGGGTCACCCTACTGAGCCATAACATGGTGGAAGGGCAAACAGGCAGAGCACAGAGAGGACCCTTGACAGACTCATCGTTGCATCAGGAGCCCACTCCCAGAGCAATGGCAGCGGTCCACACTCTAGCAATGGCAGTTAATTTCAGAATGAGTCTTGGGAAGGAGACTTAACTATAGTGGGCATTCTAGACCCATGCCAACATAAATAAAAGAGCTCGAAGACGAAGGTGATGTCTCTTTAAAAGTTTCCAAATATGGGGCTGGAGGAATGGCTCAGCAGTTGAGAGCACCAGCGGCTGCTCCAGAAGGCCTGGGTTCTATTTCCATCTGATCCCATGGGATCCGATGCCCTCTTCTGGCTTCTGTGGCCATGAGACATGCTGTGATACCCAGACATATTTTCTGGCAAAGCGCTTGCACACAGAGAATTTTTTTGTTAATTTACCAATATAATGATATTTGAAGAATATTAGTTCTATCTGTTTATGAGATGTGGGCAAGGAAGAATTTGTATCAACAGTATGAAAATCACTAAGATCCAGTTTAGAATTGAACAATCTTTAGCCATGGCAGTGTTTGCAACAAAGTAGGCAATGTGTGTTAGTTGGAGTCAATGAACAAAACATCACCAATGTTACTATTCATAAGCAGTTGCTGCCATGTAGTTCTCCAGTTTAACAGAAAATTTGTAGAATATTTTGTATCAGAACATCACACAAACTTTCTATAATCACACATAGCTAGTTCATTAGGCAGACAGTTGCCATCTGGACAAAATTCTAACAATTAGAATAGTAAAGGCTGAGGATTGCTCTGAAGAGGAACCAGAGTTTTAAGAATGTGTGCTTTCAATGAAAGATTCTAGTAGATACTGTCGTATCCTAGTTCCCTTTCTTTTGCTGTGACGAACACCATGACCAACGCAGCTAGGGGAGAGAAGGCTTTATTTCATCTTGTGCCCTCAGTCTGTCGTCCTCCCTTGAGGAAAGCCACGGCAGGAACTGGAAGGCAGGCTTGCTGACTATTTGGGTAGCTGCCCTCTTGCCCAGTGAGCAGAGCAGAAACCAATGAAGAATGCTGCTTGCTGGATGGATTGACCAACCCCAAGACCATTTATTTGCTTAGGGATGGTGCCATCCACAAGGGACTGGGCTATTCCGCTTTAATTAATAATCAAGACAGTCCCCCAACAGACATGCCCATAGGCCAATTTGCTCTAGGAAATTCCTCGGTCAAGGCTTTTCTCTCAGGTGACCCCTGGCTGTGGCAAGCTTACATCTAAAGCTTCTGGGATGTGTGGTAGGTATTCCCCGCTAAGTTCTTATTGTGTTGTTATTTGTGTAGTGAATCCCCCTGCATCGGATTGAGTTCCCTGAGACGAAGTGTTTCACTCTTGTTTGGGAGTTCAGAAATGACTGGCACACAGAATGTCTTGATTGGCTTACAGATAAACTAGACTAGTTTGCTAAGAAAGTGTGTACTACCCGCCAAAATAAAGGGAGAATCTTGGGGAAATATTCTGAATTCTTTGAGAGAGTAGCCCAATGTCTCAGTAACACATGGTCTTTTCATTCATGAACATCAGTGAATGATTAGACATGATACTTCTATGAAAACAATGTCAGAGGTGATAATATTGAAGGAAAGAATCTTATGAATCTCTTCAGAGTTGGATCCATACTAAATATTCATAACATTATTGAATAAAAACATAAATAATCTATACATAGTGGGTTGTATTCCATTTTTCTCAGTTTCACTAGTGACTAGTTAGGCTCGGTAGTTTTCCAGTTGCTGGTGGGATGACTGGAAATCTGATGTGTGCATATGTTTGGAGGCACATGGGCCGGCGTTTTATGCTAGCAGAAGAGGTGTGAGAAAAAGCGTTGAGCTGATTTATCTCTCTAGATAAGTTTCATTTAGCTATTTTCTAATTTCAACTAACTAATGTACAGCATTCAGTCAAAATTTCTTTACATAAAGGTAAGTGATCATTGTTGAAAATCTAAATTGTTTTTCTTAAAAAGCCGAAGAGCGAATTAGTTTTCTCTTGAAGGATTAGTCCTGGGACACGTGCTTCAGTTCCTCCACACAGACAGAAGTCTTCCTAGTAAACTTCATAATAGTGTGCTGTTTCCTCATCTGATTAAATAAGTCTTTGGTATTTGAATTTTTATGATGGCACTCTGAGCTTGAAGCTCTCGTAAACTTTTTTTCCTGAGGTCCTGCAGTCATTTTCTCTCAAAACTAACAGTGATAGGAAGGTTCAGAGCCCTGAGGAGGCTGAGAGGTGACTGCTCATGTGTCTAAGTGGGGCCAGCAGGGGCTGCTGCCAGGGACAAGGCTGCCACATTCCAGCTGTGTCTGGCCTTGGACTCCCTTAACATCATAATCTGGATTCTATTAAGGGAATTCTATGTTTTTCCTCTGCAAGAGTCACCCCCTACCATGACAAATATTTAAATATATATATATATATATAAATATATATATTATATATATTAAAGTTGGGAAAGCAAACTTTTTCCCAAAAGAAATTTATAGTTCAAATTTATACCAATTTCTTCTTAACTAGAGCAAGCTAGGTTCTCCCTAAAGCTTGGGTTTTCCCGTAAAACATTGCTCTCCTCTGGAAGACGCGGGCTTTTGTTTTTATAGGCGAGGGGATGAAGCAGCACACAGATGTGTCTGTGCTGGCACAGGCTGCAGAATGTACCTGGGGAGCATGGGGGTGTGCAGTCTGGAGGGGAAAAAGATGAAAGGGAAAAGACTGTATTGGGATGCTCACATATGAAGGAAATGCTAAGCTTTTGATCCAGCTAGCGTTTCCCTCTCCTTCTTTCCCTGGGAAGTGACTGAGGCTGTGCCAAGTCATTTTCACAAAGCCGATTTTACAGGTACCCAGCTTTCCCATGAGTGACTGTTGCCTTTTCACCGTACAGGACTGTCGTGATGCCCGTGGCCAAAGAGTTTGATCCAGACATGGTCCTGGTGTCTGCAGGATTTGATGCGTTGGAAGGCCACACCCCTCCCCTAGGAGGTTACAAAGTGACAGCAAAATGCAAGTATCTCTTCCAAGACGTCATGAAATGCTATGACGTCATAGACTGTTTTGTGCTTTATGATATGCGATACCTTTTACATGAGTTCTGTAAACACTGGGGAGGTGTTTGAAAATGATTGGTGTGGTATTTACTGCTCTGTCAGTTTTGTGTTTCTGTAAAAATTTCATTGAACAAAAGCAAAATGATTTCCTCTGGTAGACTTGGTAGACATGTCAGAAACTTCCTGCATTTCAGGAGTGTTAGTTTTCATTTAAAGAGTACAGCAGTATGGCTTCTGTCTATGATCTAATAGCTGATCTGAGAAGTCATAAGTCTAGGGAAACTACTGGGTCTTTTGAACGGAGAACGTAGCTGTGATTTTTATTCCATTGTACAGGGAATAGAAATAGCTACTTGGCAATAATGTCGTGTGCTCCCAGGTTCAAATACAGACTTAATTGTGCTACAGCATTCCTGAGGGTCCCTGAGGCTATGCTGGTCTTCTGTTGGGTTGCAAGGACGCACTTTCTGGCTGTGTTCCACAGCAGCCAGCTTCCCAGCAGAGAAGTGAATTTTGTGTTTTATTGTGTTTGAAGAATCTGACTCCATGGAGTTGAGCTAGATGGGAACTTTCTTTAAGAACAGTTTCCTTACTCTGCGCAGGAAAGCGAAGCATGTGTGCAGTACATGCATGTAAATGTGCATTGGCACCGTGTGCGCCTACTAAACAAGACAAGACTGTAGAACTACAGAGGACGGCATCCGGTATTATAGGCTTTGAGGGAGCTCAGAGCAAGCAGAACGAAACAATTCCAGCGGTTTTAAGTGGGAGAGATGAGTTTGGAACGCGTTTGCTATATTAATTTGAAAAGAACCAAGAAACAGCTTCGTGCCAACCTTTGTTTGTCGTTGGCTGCTGATGTGAGAACATTTCTGCGCTCTAATTGTTCCAGTAACATTGTTAGGTAGTGGCTATTTTTAATATCTATTATTTACCCAGGGTTTTTGGTGCCTTGTTGTCTATCGAAAACATATTAGAGCCGGCAACTCCACACACACAACAAAAACTAGATAATGCATATTGTGAAAAATTGAATACAGAGGCATTTTCTTGTATTAAATATCTTTGTGATCCTTCTGGTGATGCTGCTCACGGAACTCACCTCAAGTAGAAATCTGTCCTTCTGTTGTGGATAAATCTCATTGGAGTCAAGGCTGGTGACTCGTTTACTTTAAATAAAGAAAAGTAAAGTTTGACACCAAAACAAAGGAAAACCTAAATGATATAAACCCCATGGGGAGAAAGACAGAAACCTGGGAAAGGTGGTCTTTTTCATGAAATTCACACATCTCCTTCAGGAGTTGGAGAACGCGGTCTTTGAGTCTCTCGCCTTGCCCAGAGATGGCGGTTTAACTTCTCCATCTCTCCAAGGGAAAAGGGACTAACCATTGTGCTAAATCCTAGACAAATGAGTTTCAAATCTCAAATGTCACATTGCAAAGTAGAATCACAACAGTAGTACTGTGGTCTCTTTTGCTTACAGATACTAGAAACATTGTGTCTAACACTTTTGCTCCCGCAGTGCCAGTCAGCTTTCCGATGACGTAATAAATTAGCTGAGATAGTCAGCTTACACCCCAGGGAAGGGTTGTTTCTGCCAGCAGCTTTTGAGTTTATCACCCATGGGCCTGTTATGGTGAGAAACGAGTGGCAGAGTACAATTGTTTATCTCATGGGTAGGTGGGAAGACGCGAAGGGGAGGCACTAGAATGACATAATTCTCACTAAAGCCCCTCTTCAATGATCGGAAAACATCCTACTAGGCCCACCTCTTAAATTTCTACTTCTTTCCTACACCACCATGTTCATCCTGAGGACCCAGCTGCCAATTTGGTGGCCTCAGACCCCAGTTCTTTCAAACAGAATGCAAGGCAATCTCCAACGTTTCAAATCTACTAATACAGCAATATTTTATTTATATCTTAATAAGTAAAGCTTGTCTAAAATCAGAAGGGTAAAGCTAAATCAGTAGAGGCCAGGCAGTGGTGTCACACACCTTTAATCCCAGGATTTGGGAGACAGAGGCTGGATCTCTGTGAATTCAAAGCCACTGTGAGCTCCACAAGATCAGTGCAGAAACAAATTCAGGCGGTTTTAATCCCAGCACTAGAGGGAATATCAAATGGGAGGAGATAGAGGCTCTGGCTATTTAATCTGTGGTGGCCCAGCCTTGGTAGAGGTAAGACTTCTCTACTGGACTGGCCGCTTTGCTTTTCTGATTTTTCAGGTTGAACCCCAGTATCTGACTCGAGGTTTTCTTATTTGTGCTACATACTAGCATATTTGTATTTATATAAGGGATATTTTATTGCTTCCTACTCCCAAATAAATCTGACTGTAGAGCAGTCTCACTGTCCCTCCATATATTCCTAGTCCCTGCTCATCTCTCTCTTCTTGGATTTACTGTCCAGCAGAAGCTGCCATGCAGGAGGCTATTAGGTACTAGTGATGGCTCTTTGATCAGCTCTTGGCCACTCAATCAGGAAGGTTCATAATGAGGGGAGAGGCTCTAGAATGGGAAATACAGGAGAAGCTGTCTAAAACAGGTCACAGATTTTGTAACTAGGAGTGTGATTAATATGTTTATGGATTTGTATTTAGGTGAAATGGCGTGAGCTATGTACTGGATTTCTCTTCACTGAGGGAAAAAAAAAAACATGCCACCACATACAAAAGTATAGAGATTGGAATGTGCCCTTAGTAGGTCACATTGGGGGCAAAGACCACAAATACTATCTGTGATAACATGGACACCAGCACCCACCTCTGAGTAACCACATCACCATTTCAGGGAGCCTTTGGGATGCTGGCAACAGTTTCTCACCATGGATGTCACCACCCTAATCGGGCAGGATCTGGGATTGCTGCACAGCCTTCCGGAGACTCCCAAGTGGCTCTCGTCTGGCTTGCACCAAGCAGATGCATTCTCTTCAATTTGACAGACAGGCGATTAAAATTGAGATCTCAGTGCTCTGTGCCAGAAGTCGTCCTGCCAGGGTGCAGAGTCCCAACACAAAGTTGAAAATGGGGTACAAATCTAAAGTAAATTGTAACTAAACTATATGAAAACAAATGTTCTGCTAAACTTTTTCAATTTTAGCTAAACTCATTCTTGTTCCAAGTCAAACACTGGATGATTTCATCTGAGAGCGATTTGAGGGTACTGTCATTTCAGACATCTGAAAATTTATTTCCTTGGCACATCAAATTGAGTTTTTACAGTACTTTATTTTATATTTTTGAAAGGAAAGGAAAGATCAAGTCAAAACAACAATGGATTTTTGTTCATGTTAAACATCTAAATAGCTGTCTGACATTAAAGGAAGGCTGTTTCTGAGACAAGAATTTCAGCCTAAACACAGAGGTGACTTTAAATAAAGACAATTCTTAGCACGGCTTTCTTCTCTCCTCTCTCATCCCGTTTTTGTCTTAGCTACAAAACTACAACATAAATGTTGGGTTTTGTTTGTGCGAAAGTTGAAAACAATTTTAACGGAGTTTTAGAAATATTTGCTTAGAATTTTTGTTCTTCTTTAAATTCAGGGCCAAGATTAAGTTCCAACCTAAATTCAGGCTTCTCTCCCTTATGCCCAGAACCGTGACCTTGAAAGCATCCATTCCCCTTACTAAATATTCTGGTTCATATCCGGTTGTCTTCCTGTTACAGTTTAAGAAGATAACCTTGGCAGCAGTGCCATGTTCAAGAGTGAGATTGGCTTTTCCCCTCCCAGAGTTCCCAGCTTTGTGGTGCTATCACCTCAGGAGAGCAAAGGCTCTTTAGTTCCCGCTCAGTTTCACAGTAAATCTCTCTCTCTCTCTCTCTCTCTCTCTCTCTCTCTCTCTCTCTCATAGATGTGTCTGTTCTCTGTGTCCCTCGGAGTGCAGTAGTGAATTCCTACAGGCAGATTGCTCATGCCATGTGAATAAGAATCTTTATTCCTCTGGAAAAAATGATAGGCATGTCTGATAAAATGTGTATTATTGTAAAACCATATACAATTTTTACTTCAGCAAGAATTCTGTAGTTCCTGAGATATAACCCATTTTTACCAGATAATACAGCATTTAATTTTTCAAGAAGGAATCATGTCACATTATCTTAGAGAGTTGTTTTCCTACTGTCCCCTGTATTGAGAATTACTTTGCTCTTGTTTGTAAATCTCCTCCCTACTAGTAGGAGTGTGGTAGGATAGGGAGCGAGCACAGTTTTGGACAAACACCTGCTTAGATGAACTCAGACCTAACTGCCAGTGACTTTCAGGGAAGAACAAATGTTTCCTGATTAGTTGGCCATCTAAAAATAAGTCTCTTAAAAAGTTGGGTTTTAATCAAAGCAGCAAATAAGAGCAAAGAACCAAACGTGCTCCTTGCTTTAGGCCGTGTTGGCCATCCCATCTGCCCATAATAACTGTGTGTGCTGCATCTTGGTTCTGATCTTTATGAAGATGGTGGAGCTTAGAGAGCCTTCCCTCTTCATTTTACTAACCCAGAGCTGAAAATAGACTGAGCCAGAACAAGCACAGCGTGGTACAGCTGACTTCCCTTGCTACTGCGTCTTTCTCTCCAGGAGCCTCGCATCTATCTTAAATTGCCCATTTTTTTAAATCTCTGGTTTTTGTCCCACTACTTAAAATTTATGAAGACACTGAATGCATTTACTCATACGATTTCTTTACTGTATGCTTCTTCCTTCTCTGTGAAGGAAAAGGCATTTCAGCCTCTGGGGAAAAGTCTCTCCACCAGTTTGGTCTTACCTGTGACTGGGGAATCCATGTCAGGACCTCTAATGATAGAACGTCAGTCCATGGGCAACAGGGTGGACAGGACAGCATCTGTGACAGCTAATAACCGATACTTCTGAGGATTCACTGACCCCAACTTCTCTGCTTGTCCTCCTCTGTATGAGGGTAAAAACTGGAGGAAACAAGCTGGGTGTGGTGGTCTATGCTGTTAAAA